TTCCACGTTAAAGCGTTTCTTCGACAGCTCGCGAAAATAACAAATATATAGTGACAGATTCGGAGTGAGAATTGACAAATTTGACGAGTAAAATTTCAAAACCTTATCTTGCAAATGTAATATATATGTCCGTTATTTGATCCCATTGCGCAATATTAAAGCTTAAAATCTCATTTTCAATATATCTTTTGTTCTATCTTTTATTTTAACCCTTCGACTGTAGACTTAAAAAAAAAACCTACGAAGAAAACTGTAGACTGGATCTGTGAGGACCACGCAACTTTAACTTTTTTTCGAATCAAAAGTTGGAACAATTTGGCGTCGAGAGAAAAAACAGATTGAAATATGCAATCTCCAATAGTTTCGAAGATGTAAGCGTTTAAAAAAAAAACTTATTTTTTCTAAAAACGTCGATGCGCAATTTTTGAGTGGGTCTGGAAGACCCACAGTCTACGGACGAAGGGTTAATGTGTTATCAAATTGATTGAAAGTTATTTAAACAGATCAAAATGTTTCGATTTGTTGAAAAATCGAAATTTTCACACATATATTGTATATTTTTTACGTATATTTTTCTAAATAACAAGAATGTTACGTACCGCGCGTACGTATCTTCAAATACGGAACGAGCAACGATATCGGGTATGAACAGCGCGTCGTGTAGTAAGGTACTAAAACGCCTTGCGCGGACTATCTTTTGCCCGCACCTAATTGTCGCCAATTGTCGGGTAGGCCCTCATAATGCAGTTAATCCCCCGAATGGCCCCGACGAAACGGGAGGGACCGGCTAACCTTGCCTGAAATTATTTCGTGGAACGACGGCGCGGAGCATCTACGCGGTTGGATGTTTTCGCGTGACTTAAATTTCACGGTTCTGCAAAAACGCAACGTAATATCGCAGTGTCGTTTTACCACATTTGCAATAACATATATATATATATATATATATATATGATACGAGATTCTTTAAAGAAGCCAATGAGAACGTGAACTTCAAATATTTAATTAGAATCGTCGCGCGCACTTCTTAAATCGAAATCAGAGTACGCGCGAACACACGAAACTTTATACTCGTATTTTATTATAATAACTTCGTGAAAGTCCAAAGTCCAACTTCTTCTTCGACTTAGTTGGGTATCCGAGAGATTTCAATACGAGCGCACGCTGTTCAGAACTGCGTCATCTTTTCTTAGAGAAAATTAATTTTAGAACGTGCGATGAACTTTCAAAATCGGAAGTAGAATAATTATATATATATATATATATATATATACACACACACACACACACACATATATATATGTATAGTGTATAATATATATATGTATAGTGTATAATATATACATATATTATTACGTAGAATAGAAATTTTCGCAAGATAATTTTACAAATTAAAAAATACATTATCGAAATTCCTCCCGTAATAAATATCATGCGCGCAGGCACACACTAAATGTATTTCTTCTCGTGGAGAAGACAATAACATATTTAAAAACTGAGCAGATATACAAAAAAAAACAAGCTGAAATTTCTGAATAATTATAGCATAAAAGAAAATTACAGCGTAATTATAACATGTCGAACTTGTTAGCGTTGTCGCCTTGACAAGAGAAAGAGGACTGACCTAATAAAATAAAAGAGAGAGAAATCCGAAGCAACATACATGATGCTGTCGTCTCTTACGTTACATCAGTCACGTATGCTACATCTGCCACGTGCAGAAAGCGACTTGAATCGACTTGAGAAACACGCCTACGTTCGGGAATATCAAAAAGTTGTTAAGACAAAGAAAAAAGTGAAATATTTCATGACGACGATATATTGTTTTTGCACGTCTAGCAAATTTTGGAAGACGCACAAAAACACGTATAAAAATCTATGCTTTTTTTATTTCGCAATATTTTAAGATTTTGCAAATTTTTGTTTTCGAATATAAATTTCGATGCAAATTGCGTAACAAAATTCAAAGACGGGTTTTTACTTTTAACATCATAATTCAATATCGGCTGCAACGAATACACTGGAGTCTTTTAATATCGTTTGACCGACTCTGACGACTTTAAGCTGCGTAGACGCGTGTCTAAATTAAATATTAAATTTATTATATAAAAGTTTTGTCTTTATTATATAAAATCGAACATAATATCCTTTAGAGATACGTAGAGAAACGAATTTAAAAAGAGTTTGAATTTGAAAATCAAGATTGTTGCCCAGGAAAATATCTCTGACAAATTAATTTAAAAACAAAGCTAATTTTTGCGACTCCGACCATTCTTTAGTAGGATATGCGGTTTGCAGAATAAACATGTAATTCACAATGTCAACTTAGCGCGCGACGCAAACATTTACGCCAACATATACAGAAACAATGAAGAGAAGCCGCACTAGATAACGCGACCGTCTCACGACTGCGAAATTTAATTCCGTTACTGTCGCGCAAACGAACTAATTTCCTTTGTGCATTTCGCGTTTCTTCCGGGATAGGCAAACCGTGACTCTTAATAGATTGCGCTCCAATCAACGGGAATTTGCTCCTCATTGCGAGCTCGGTTACAATTGAACGATTATCGTTATCATCCTTTAACGCGGGAGAATTTCGAATTACTTTACGTGTGAGATAATAAATTAATCCTCGTAAAACGTAAGCCTCAAAATATATCGTGATTGATTAAATACAAAAAATTTAGAAAATGTTAAAATGTAAATCGAGAGAAAATGTAAAACTGCAGAAAAAATGTGAATAAATAATAAACACAAAGAATGATAGTCGACATTGTTTTGAATGTTATTAAATAAATAAATTATAACTTGAACATTTGATACGCTTTAAATATAAATGGAGATATTTTCAACTTGTAAAATATTGAAGTATTGAGATTTCATTGTGCATGAAAAAACAGCGCGCTTTTATATCCTACTGATCTCATAATAATTAATCTCTTTATATTGAGATTTCGATTTTAATAATCTGAGTTCTTTCTCTCTTCCGATTCATTTTACGAAGTTTCATTTAGTCGTTAATATTCCGTAAAAGACAGTTTTTTTTTTTTTTTAACGAAATATCCCCCTCCGTTAAAATATTATTGAAAAATGTTTGTGTGTGTCAATATGAAGTAATTCCTGAATAAAAAATTTCCAGCTCTCTTTCGGATAAATTTAGATTTAACTTATATTCAAAAAAATTATCAAACCCAGATAGTTTTAATTAATTCCAAAGTTTAGAGAATAAATTTAATTCTAAATAAGTAAAAAAAATAGAAGCAAATTTTGAAATAAAGTTTGTAATTAAATTTCAAGAGCGAAATTTGATCGAGAAAAACGACTCTGTACTTTTTTGAGTTTGTTTGACTGAGGAAGTGCTGCTTTGTGTTTATGTCTCTTGGATCACCGGAGATATATATATATATATATATATATATAAACCTTTTATTACTTTGGATTACGGTCGTTGTGACATATATATTACTGGCGCGTATAAAACAAAACGTGTGTGACACTCACTGATGAGGTTCTTGAAGGTGTCGGTGAATATTCGAATCATGGTGCAGTCTGTGTCTGGGCTTGAAAACCGAGTAAATATATGTATATTATATCTAGTGTATCTCCCGACCGTCAGCTCCTGCTGCGCGCCAACACCATTACACGATTTCCTCCGCACAGTTGCAATACAGTGCGACAGTTGTCCGCTTGCTCCCACTAGATCCTACTAAAGGTCCGAGGGATTCACGTTAAAATTCTCGGAAACTCCCCCACTTTCTCTTTTTCTCTTTCTCTCTCTTTATCTCGTTTAAAGCTACACTCGGAGAGTGTGTGAGTATTTATCAAGCACAACTGATTGAGATTCTAAATACATAGACGTTTTAGGAACAATCGCAACGGAAGATACCGAAACTTAGGACTGTGTTTATGTGTGCAATCTGCAATTTGGAGAGACTTGCTTGATTGAAGATCGGAGAGACTCCGTTGTCTTCCTCCGTTGCAAACCAGCTTGCAATCCAGGATGATGAAATTTGAGGTCTGTTACGCTTGCTTCTGGCAGAAAATTCAATATTCCTAATGTGTAATTTTCTTGATGTAGCGAGGAAATTGAAGAAGCTCCAAACTCCCTCCCATATATTTTCTCCAAAGCTGTGAGAAATTCCAGCTTTATCGTCAAAATGTCTCTTTCATCATTTTGCAATAACGCAAAAATTTTGAAGGAAAATTACTCCTTTGTATTATTGGTTCAAAATTGAAGTTTTCTTTCTTCTGTCTTTTTTAGAAGAAATTGTTCTCATTCAAACTTCACTTCAGATATGTTTCTATTTTGTGTCGTTTTCAAAGACAATTTTCCTCCCAAAATAGTTTCCATTTAAAGTCTCTCCGAACTTCACTCCAAATCTTCACTCTCGATTTTCGTCTTCACTAAAGTTCTGGATTTAGAGAAGAAATATAGTCTTCATCTCAGTATGTTTCGTTTTTTTTTTATTCGCGCGATAAAGTGGTTTCCGAAAATATTTTTCGATAACACAGAATTGGTTTCGTGCACGAGATAGCCCGCTTTAAAGTTGAATGTCCTATCTTTTCGATCAGATTATTTCGCGAGGAAAAAACACGTGCACGCGGAATCAGTGCCGGGAACGCTCTGCCACGGTTCGCGTCATCATCGTTGTCGTTGCACTCGCGCTACCTCCTGCTTTCTCTCTCTCTCTCCCTCTCTCTCTCTGGCCAAGTCGTACTTTGGAACTGACGTCGCGACGTCGCAAAGCACCGACGCTACTGAACAGTGCCGACGCTGCCTCGTCGGTTTTATTGTCGGTCGGTGGCGTGACGCGACGACACCTCCACTATTCGCGCCCTTTGACCTCGCGAAGCCGAGGACAAGAAGAAAGGAGGAAAGAGCAACCTTATCTATTATCGCTTCTTTCGGATGCATCATTATCATCTTCTTTTCCCTCTCTTTTCTCTCGTCTTTCTCTTTTCTAGAATTTTTATTATTCTCATTTTCAACAAAGGTCAAGTTTTTTTTGTACGTGTTATCGTATTCTGTATGTATTTTTTCAATCAGATAAGTACGCACTTCGTCACTTTGATGTTTTTGTCGAGTAAATAGCTTTATGATGCGTAAACACCGTAAAAATTTATTCTCAAAGATGTTTGCCGCATTTTTTTTTTTTTTTTTTTGCTGTTACTCGTATTGATTATGCACATCTTTTTCAAAATTAATTTCAAGCAAGTCAAAAATTTCGAATAAGTATCTTGAAACATCGTTTTGTTTTTACTCTCACAAATGTAGTTTTTTCACAAATAATTCGAATCTTGATCAGATCGTCGTTGGCAATAACAAAAAAGAAGAATGCGACAAAGACGAATCTGAAAGTAGTAGTGATCGATCGTAATATATGGATTACGATTTTTGTTTTATCGCTTGTGTGCAGAGTTGCAAGATCGAGCAGAGAGCAACGAGAGCATCGAGCGGTGGGGGCACGCACACAAGCCAGAACCGCCGTCTGTGTGCGTGACGTTATACACACAGCGGCGGTTCTGGCTTGTGTGCGTGTCCCCACCGCTCGATGCTCTCGTTGCTCTCTGCTCGATCTTGCAACTCTGCTTGTGTGTAAATTCGCGAAAAGATAATCGCTGCGATAACATATCAATGTAATATAATTAAATATCGAAGTGACTTGAAATCAAATCGTGGAGAAATCAATACACTGAAAGATAATAGTAAAATCATTTACGAATACTTCGTTTTTATTTATCAATCGTGATAATCTTGAAGTGTGTGATTATGATCCGTAAATATTGTACTTGGTTAGTTTTATTGGATTATATAAAATATCCTTCATTTCTAAGTTCACCGAAGATATCTGGCGACTGTTTGTTACATGGTAGTCCTACTCGACGAACACATGTTACAATCGGGATTTATCAGTTGCGATTGTTCAAATTATCTCGCATAGCAAACAACACAAGAGAGGAGGAAATATCTTACAATAAATAAAAAAAGAAAGAGAAAGAGAGAGAAAGAACAAACAGAAGTTTTGCTCTATATTTGACGAAGAGTGCGAAACGATAACTGACATATCTCCATTTGTTGGCGAAATTGTGTGAACGAAATAATTTAATTAAATCAACAATATATAATTTTACATAACGCTAATAACGTTATATTTCACAATTTACACGTTTATGCGCACTCTTTACGATTTTTATGATCTATTTTCAATCACAAAATTCATTTACATTTCGATTATTAATTTACGGAAACACATCTCGCTTTCAAATTAATTAAAATTTGATCAACAAGCGATTAAAATTCCAAAGCCATCAAATGCATGTTATTCATTTTGATATCCAATTTTAACACACATTTCACGATACAAGTTCCAATTAATCTTTTACGTATACGCACACACACGTTTGTATATATTCGCATATATTCGTAAAGTATCGGTTCGATACAAAGAACTCTTCGTGTTGAATATGTTTATTGAAATATTTAATATCAAGCGCTTAAGTCTTGACATTAATACTTCAACAAATATATTTTAACACAACAAACATCCAGTTCTCTCTGCTCGTATCGCACATTAATAAATTTTCACGAGCAAATTACACACTTTATATATTCTTATTATACATACATATACTTCTAAGCGCTCGGATATTTTTCACTTTTCATAAATATTTTTCTTATTGACAAATGGAGATGTATCTAGCTAACGTTTCGCAAATGCACTTATTCACCCTTTCCGCGCCTTCGTACACATCGCACGTACCCAAAGTGCGCGTTTCTTCCTCTACCTCACCGATGAGTCATTTTAGTTGGGTACAAAGTCCATCGTTGGTCGACACTCCCTCCTCCTGTGTGCTCAAGAACTATTCTCTTCTCTTCCCCTCTCTTTCCACTCGCTCTCGAGAGATAGAGATAGAGAGAGAGAGAAAGAAAGACTCGGCAATTCTGTTACCTAAGAAATTCCCTTCCCGCGAATCAATCGCAGCGCGGCAGCGATACCGTTGCAGCTGTACATTGTCCTCCCCTCCCTTTTTATTTTTTTGATTTTTCTCGTATTTCCTTTCCCTACTTCTCTCGCGCAGTCTCGCGCAATGACTTCGCACCGAAGTGGTTTACGGCCGGTTAAGTCATAATTAACTCAATTGCCTCTCTCTCTCGAAGCTGAACTTTGTTCGGCCACGCAGTATGCACGTGTTCTTCAGGAATCACGACCTTGATACGATCTCGACACGCGAATATTTTTGTGCTTTTTTTTTTTTTTTTATTCTATCGGCACATCTCCCTTGAACGTCCTCCCGAAATTTCGCTCGGTCGAGAGACCTTAATCTCGGACTCGGTGACTTTCGCCGTCTCTCCGCGCGATTTTTCTTATTATTTTTTTCCGGGAATTATTTCCCCAAAAGAGTTTCATTGTCCCGTCGAGATTTTTTTTATATCTGATTTTTTTTTTTTTAATTCTCTATTGCAAGAGTCTTTGTATGTTTGATACCTTTGTTGCTTGATGATACTTATTCTTGATTTCCCCGGCCGAGATTATTTCCAGATAATGAATCCGAGTCGCGTTATTTCGAAGAATTTCGCTTCTTCCTTCACAGGAAATCGTCTTTTGTGTATCAAGAATCTCTTGTTTAAATTACCACATTTCTCATTTCTTCGTAGTTCAAATTCGTAGAACTTGGTTGGAAAGATCTCTCTGTTTTTGCAAACAACCATCAGTTAAAATCCGCAAACTTTCGGAATTGCTCGCCGCGGAAAGATCTTTCGTGTACTCTTCTCCTAAGAATTTCCGATCGCGATATATCAAGTATTTTTTTTTAAACTATTTCTTGTATTTCTGTAGCATCAAACTCTCTCAGAGCATTTTCCCTGAAGCAGAAACCATATTTTCCTCGAAATGATCTCTCTCTCTCTCTCTCTCTCTCTCTGTTTTCTTTCGAGGCAATGGTCTTCGGCATCTCTCTTCTATCTCGCAAACGGATTAAAAACCCTTCTTCACGATAAAATCGCGGAATCAGGTTTTTTTTCCGTCGGATCTTACTCGATCCTGTGACTCGATCCCGCGACGACCTTGACGACGATGCACTCGCTGAAAGGAGTCCCGAGGCGCGGCGGGCAGAATTGCTCCTCTTCGCGGTCGCGATACCCGCCGCGCGCGTGCGTACTGGTAATGCGTGGCGATCGCGGATAAGTGTGCGTAATAATACGTGAACGTGAACACGAGCTCTCCATTGATAAACAAAAAGACCGGTCAAGTGATAAAAGAGACGCGACCGCCGTACAGTGTGATATCAGGAACAACGCCGATGGCGACTGGAGAAGGTTCCCTTCGGCAGTTCACGTTGTTCCTCTACAGCGAGGGAGAACCTCAGTGCATCAGTGGGAGAGGGCAAAAGCGGGCGAGAAGAAGGGGAAACCTACGGGAGGGAGTAAACAGGGCCAAGTATGTTTCTCCTCTCTCTCTCTTTCTCTCTTCTTCTCTCTTTTTCTTTCTGACAGTCCCTTTTTTCTTCTTTCTCTCCTTCCCGCCAGATAATTCCGTCTTTTTTCACAACTCTCTTTCCCTCTCTCTTTCTCTCTCTTTCTCGTCGATACGCTCACGCCAAAAAACAAGTTAACCGCTCTCTTGATGCACGACAGGTCGAGAGACAGACACGAAAGGCTTTTCGTGAAGAACGTAGAAATCGATTTTGGCGGCGAGCAGACAGTCTTTTGCATATATATATATATATATACGACTACGCACATATTAAAAATCTATAAAGTTTTGGAGCATTAAAACATATAGTTCTAACGACTCTGATATTAAAAAATTTAATTTTCAAACATTTCTATATAGATTTTGCTTCACAGAATTCCATCTTATGGCGATGAAAATAATGACGATGTGAATCTCGATGTATATAATAATTTACCGCGGATACGTCAGTTTGTTAACATACAAAATATTGTTTTTGTAAATTTCTTGCAAGACAGAAACAGAAGTATCTTCAACGAGTAATCGTACGAGAGTCAATTTATTTCAGAAGAAGTTACGCCGTTGCATTTAAACAAACTTCTTTTCGTTTGAGCAACAGATCGAGGCTACTTTCGCGCAGCCAGCTCGGTCGGTGCCAGCTGTGTGTGCCGTTGTTTTATTCTACCAACTCTAAATTTATTACCGAGAGAGGAAAAGTTAAAGCTAGACACGGAATATAAGCTAGAGGAAGGATCGGAAACATCCCCACCGTTCTTGTTACTTTTCCACTCTCAACAAAATCAAGTCTGATCGTCTCTCTTCTCTCTCTTCTTTCTTTCTCTCTCTCTCTCTCGCACTCTCGTTCTCGCGTATTAAGAAGCAGAAAATAGCGTTACAGCTGCACAAGTTCCGAATTACATATGCATCTGCTGCGAATGCGTGTGCGCGCGCGCGAGATCGAAATACCTCTTTTTCTCCCCGAGAATGATGAATGGAAAAATCCGATTTTATCTATATCGAGAAATTGGGATTCGCGCGGGCCGTTTCACGTTGAAATGGATTTCTTCGGGAGTCTGGCAAATTGGTTTTGTTTCGAGAATGATTGAAATGGAAAAGCGCGCGCGTACGTATTTTGCGTCGAAAATTATTTCATCGTTTCATCTTTTCTTTGTCAGTTCGAATTTTTTATTTCACGGGAAATGTGTAGCGGTTAGATATATATAAGCTTAAATAAAGCAAGAAACGAGATATTTTAATTGTAAAAAAAATATATATACATATAAATGCAAATACATTTTTCAGCTCTGCGTGATTAAGAAAGAACTTCTAAGAAAATTGATCGAATTACCGGAGAAAGAAAACGACACTACTTCTCCCGCGCATTTGTACAAGAATATTAACCGGGGGGCCTTGAGAAATCCCGAGTTAATCTCGCGGTGTTTCTCACAAACGCGAGAAAATGAAACGTTTTCAGCTGTTGATCTCTTTTGCGGAAGATCTTCAGCTTTTTTTTTCTCTCTCTCTATCTCTATCTCTATCTATCTATCTATCTATCTCTCTCTCTTGTAGCCGAATAATTGTTTCTCGAGAAACAAGGTAATTCGCCGGCGAGAACGAAAACTAGAGTAGACAGCCTCGTATTGTACAAAGCGAGTCGTGTTTTTCTCTGTCTCTCTCTTCTTCCTCTCTCTCTCTCTCTCTCTTTCACTCTATCTCTTTCTCTCATTTTTTCCTTCTAGCTTTTTTGATCTTTCTTCCTTTGTTCGTCAGTTTTAGACGATGCTGAATGATATTTTACAAAGCAAGCTTTAATTTGGGTCGCAGCTGCCAGCAGTATCTCTCTTTCCGCTGTCAATGCTCCAAGTATGTGCTCGGAAACTAGAGGACGAAATTCGCGCAAATGGTCGCAATATGTGTTTAGAAACGACAAAGAATAGACACTTTACGAGACAAAGTACACTTCACTTACAACGCAAAAAAAAGAAAGAAAAATACAAAAAAAGCCAGAAAGAACAATACAATTCTCACTCTTCGTAAATACAATAAACGTAGATGTTAAAAGGAAAAAAAAGTGCTAGGAAATATTTATATAGACGATAAAAATTTAGTCGGTTTAAATTAAATGTCTTGAGCTTGAGAGTCAAGACGTTTCTCACGAGCAAATGTAATTAAACGTTCAAAATACAATATATAACAAGAAATAAAATATTTATACATAATTCGCAATTTAATCTATATGGAATTTAATTTATAGATAATTTGATTTGAATGCGAATGAGCGAAGCAGTTAAAACTAGATCAACATTTTAATCACGTCTCTCTCTCTGCGCTCATCGATGATTAATGACTCACTAGTAATTAATCCTCTATCCGAGCAGACAGAGATTCACATAAACGAACTATATATATGTACATACATATATATACAATACAATTTATATATAGGAAAGGAGAAAGAGAGAGAGAGAAACAGAACACGAGATTAATTAGCTCAGAGATCGCAACGAGGTGTGAAGGTTCAGCAGAAAGATCATTTCGTTGACTTCGGTCTTTGATATCGGTTGGTTCAATCCAATTAGAAGATATATTTTCTATATTTATTTCTCGCATATGTAATTTTTAATTCAATTTTCAATTAATTCGAGTTTTTGTCTAGTTCGCTTCTCGAGTAAGAAACAGCTATACTTTTCTCTTCTACAACTTGATAACATTTCTTTTGCACACACGAGAACGTGTGCGTTTTATTATAACCGTCAATTTTATTTTTACACGGAATAATTTACTCGCGATGCCGGTGAAGAGATCAATCTTGTTTGAAAAACTCGCGTTATTAAATAAGTTTATCTCAATTAAAATTGTTTTTTACCTGTCAGATGTCTCGTGGAAAAACTTCTTGCAAATTCTTGCGACAGTATGTGTACTTTTGTAAGAATTTCGAGGTTAGATTTGTGTGGGTATAAATCTAAACCGCTATACTTGTTCTCACGTCCAAGAAGACACGTGGCGACCAGGCGACTGGCGGAGTCGCGATAACGACGCAGCGAGAACGACGACGACGACGACGACGAACGTATAGGTCGTCGTTGTCTCTTCGCGAATCCTCTGCCTTAAGACTCTCTCCCTGTCCTTATCTTTCCTTCCCCTACCGAGAGAGTTGTATCTCGATCATGCTCCCCTTCTCCGTCGAGAAATCCCCCACCGCCTTCATCGAGGGGAAAGAAAACCCCCTCGATGGGCAGCCATGAGTAGTGATGGCACTCCAAACTGATTCCGATATTAGTGAACAAAATTTATCTCTCAACATATGTGTTTTTTGATATATTTTTAGATTTAGTTTATTTATTTATTTATTTATTTTTGTTTGATGCGTTTTCTTTATTCCCGATTTATCTTTGTTTGTCAATCTGTTTTGCGAAGACAGGTGAAGGAGAAACGTTGACGTTCTCGGTGACTAAAATAAAAGTGTTTGATAAGAGTCTCCGATAAGAGTCTTTGATAAAGTAGCTGTTATTTATTTTTTTTGTTGCTCGAATCTATCTTCTCATTTTTTGCCTTGTGTGTAAGTAAATAAAATTTAAAATTCAATATAGAAAATTTTAGATACTATTTTTGCGATTTAATATTTAGATTTTTCAAAAAAAAAATCGAAAAAATAATATTAAAGTTTTAATAACCGAAGATAAAATACATATCGATTTGCGACCGTTTTTTGGTGACCGCTCGAATGAATAAACAGAAATGTCAGCTTTCGGCTGTTTGCGACACACAAAAGTCGCCTGAATATTTTTATAGGGTTTCGGTGCCATCGCTAGTGCCACGGGGGTTTCCGACCCGCGAAAGGACCGTATCGATTATCTCGCGCGCCTTGCTGCGTAACTCGCGCGTCGACTATACCTCTACTATTGCATGAAATTTACGCGCGCATGTCAGTTTCGAATTAATCGCAGGAAAGACCATGTTTAGGGTTGTACATTGTAGGTAGATAATATCGGGGAAAGAAGAGAGGGATGGCGTTGTGCTCGAAAGAAATTTAAAGTAGGGAGAACAAGCTATAAATTTTGATCTATGATTAACGTTTCATCGTCACGTGAAGCATCAAGCTTGTACGAATCAGAGCTTCGACACAAAACGCGTTGCATAAATATAACAAAAAATAAATCAAACGATATAAACAATGTAATCGAATTCTAGCTCGTTTTTATTTCAATATCCATTTAAGAAAAAAGAAAAAAAAACACAGAATTCTCTTTCTCTTTAAATAATTTATATTTTTAATAATTTATAATATTTTATAATTTAATAATTTATAATATTTCATAAACAATTTTCCGCGAAACAAATGAACGGCGAGAAAAGTGAGAGATTCAAACGTGGATTTATCGTGTTTATTGTTTTATGCAAGAGATATTGTTTAAAGCGCAGTTTTGCACTGTTACGTGAAAATTTAAATTATATCCTGACGAGATACAGCGCAAAAGAAAGATATTTTGTATAAAAGATAAAATTATTCTAATAATAATAATGACAGTTAAAAAAAAAAATGTGTGCAAGTTTGGTCTTTGTGCGCGGTGCTTTTTGCGTTTTACTTTGTTTTTTTTCTTAATCTCAAAGTACGTCTTATTTTAAAAATTAAGAAAAGCAGAACGAGCTCTACTTTGTCAAGCATGTTCTCACCTTCCACGCAAGCGGGTAGCTCGGTAGTAATCTCGTTCCACTTGCCGTTTTTGCATTCGAGTGTCTTCTTCGTCTCCCCGCTGTCGGAAAACACGCTGCCGGTTCTGCATAGAAACGTTCGCGAAGTCAATGTACTGTTTGACACGTAACTTCCGTTCGGCGTTGAGACCTTCGGGCAACCCAGCACTGTAAGCATAAGTTCTCTCTTTCCATTTCCACCTTGCCGATCGTAGTTAACACTTTGTTCTACTTTCGAGTTACGAACTGATATCGTTTCGACCTTCAGAATTTTCCAACCATACAAAATACATTTGCGCGACAAAAACTTCTTAGACTATAAAATATTCCATTCTCTCGAATCTATTAATCGTCTTTTTTGCGGTCATATCCAGGAGAGGAATTATATTAGTTTATGACTTACGGAATGTAAAATAATTAAGGTCGAACAATACAGTCGACTTAACTCTTTGCCGACAGACCTCAAAAACGACGACCTACGAGTCAAACAGATCAAGTCTCACGCGACTTTAAAATCGAATATCTCTTTTTTTAATCAAAAGTTAAACGAATCTGCGCCCACCAAAAAAAAACAAATAAATTGAAAAAATCTCTAGTAGTTTCAAAGATATAAGGTTTAAAAAAAAACTAGATTTTTATTAGAGACGTCGATGCGCAATTTTTGAGTGAGAGATCCATGTCTGTCCCTTTGACTATATAATATATGGACTGCTGGTAGCTAACTTCAGACGTGTCGCCAAGTTGCAAACGTGTAAGCTTCGCCCCAGTCAATAATTTTCTGCAAGAGTGGAGAGGCTCCTGTGAAAATGACGTCAATGGTGAAATCAGTGTGAAATTACCGGTTACTGTTTCGTTCATTTATTGCGTAATTAGTGTTTGTCGTTGATGTGTTTATGCTGAGTTTGATCTTTTCCTTCATCAAATATGTATTGCTTTGTTTATGGATGCAAATCGTCGACATACAAACGCAAACATGACGAGAAAAAGTCAAAGTTTTGCCATTTTACAGGTAAGTTAGTTATCTCTAACCTGCAAATTTTTTTTTAATTGTAAATTAGATATTCAGTATAATATAATTATGTACTTAATTTATAAGGACATTAAAGAACAATAAATAATATAAAACACACGGCAACTTTTTCGACCAATCTGTTCGAATTTCCCGGCATTTACTGACTGGGGCGGAGCCGCAATAAATCGCACTTCGATATCTCAGTCAACTTCAGCTCGGTGACACCGGGCATATTGGGTGCGTTCAGACAACTCAACGGTTGAGAGATCATCACTTATGATAGGACTATTCTTCAAAATCTGCTGCGGTTCCAAAAGTATGATCCAATCAGAAGTGATTATCTCTCAACCGTTGTACAACTGTTGAGTTGTCTGAACGCACCCATTGTCTTTAGCATAGTAAAAGTGCGAGGGGGGAGGAACTAGCAGTTCATACTTATATAGTCAAAGGTCTGTCCGTTTTGCAAAGTAGAAAAATTTGTTTTTTGTTAACGTTACTTCTGGATTAATTATTGTGTAACTTGTGACACTTTGCTTTCGCGTCTCTTACCTTGGTATTGCAATAAAAAACCCCGTGCGCCAAAGAGTTTCGTGACAGCGACGAAATCGAGGGTCAGTTCGTTTGTGTTGGAAACGACTCGAATCCCAGCCACGGTGCCGCAAAACTCGAAGAGAGTGTCGCCGTGATCCCTCACCCTCACGATGTCCACGCAGCTTCCGTCCGCGTTCGGATCTGTCGAAAGAGAGGGATTTATTTACAAATTTTTCATTTACGGACTTATTTGCAAGAAATGTGTGTGTGTGTATGTGTGTGTGTGGAAAGTCACAAGTCATTAATTTTTTTTCGAGATCGACAGGCGCGTTTCCTCTCTTTTAAATCTCACGAGAAGCTTTTCCGCTGTCATATGCGGCGCATATGCGTGTCGGTATAGATACTCTGTTTTGGTAATAAGCCAGTTACATGTCAGCAAATCGTTATTCATTTAGCGGGCGGCGAGAGGACGGAAAGCTAAACTGAATCATTCAAGCTTCTGGTTTATGCAAACGCCATAAATTTATCGGAGCCGCGTGCACGGATGTTGTTTACAATGTTATCGGGGTTGCGTATGTGAGTGTGCGTGTGTATTTACTTTACCGAATCTTTCTCCGCGTTTACACGAGCGCGATTAATTTTCACAACCCGTAAATCTACCTGTATTTTCATTGCCGATGAAGAGAAAAAATCAACATCTGAACTATTAATACCATTATCCGCTGGTAATACATCAGAAATTAGCGCTGTTTGCCGTTTTTTTATTTTATTTTTGTTGTTGTTGTTTTTTTTTTTTAAATGGAAAAGTCAAACATTTAACTTCGAAACGACGTGGCAGTAAATTTCACATATAATATGACAAAGAACTCAGCGTCTCTCATTGTTTGTTCTTTCTACCTTCCCGTGTCCTCGCGCGGAAAAGATCGGGGCGAGAGGAAGGGAAAGGGGGCGGCTTAGAACAACGCCGAGCTTACCGCGGATATTCAAGTCGTGGAAGGTCAGGACTATCCTCTGACCCGGATACGTTCTGAAAATCCAACCGCACGTGCTCTCTCCGAGGTAGTATAAAGGATAGCCCGGTGTGTTGATGTAACCCCCTTCGCCGACGGTTACCTTCACCACTTGGTTACAGTATCGCCTAACCGCAGCTTCTGCAATCAATCAAGAGTTAATGCGCGTCGTGCGGTTCGCCTCGCGCGCGATACAACGATCGAATCCTCGCTATATACGTATATATGACGCGCTATCATTTTGTCTCTAATGGAATACTGCATACTCGGGTAAACTGCATATGCAGGAATCATATTTTGCAAATCGATGCGAAAGAGGGTTTATTTGCTCGTCGTAAAAATAAAATATAAAAGTTTGCGCGCGCGCGTATATTTTGTATATTTTATTGACGCGCGCAAATTAAATTAAAATAGATTTTCCCGAGAATCGCGAGAAGTAATCGTACATCGGAAAAATAAACAAGGAAATAAATTATTTTGTTTTTTAAAACATTTTCAAATAATGCGAAAATGTAGCTAGCTCTACTATAAAATCTTTTATACGGTTGGTTTTATTTACTTGTGTTTTCGTTGTACGTACGTATAAATAATTGACAAATTTGGACAAATTTTACGATGCGAATAAAACAAATTTGGACGGTATAACGAATTACGTTTCGCACGTGCACCCACGTATATAAACTGCGCTGATTTGGAAGTGCGTGGAGCCCACCATCCAGATGGTTACCCTCCAATCGAATGACAGATCATTACTTGCAGGCACGCACACGCACATATACACACACATGTGCACAATTCTATCATTTTGAAAAGAATTATTCACGGGAGGGGTGGAAAATTGGGAGATTGGGCGGCATTTTCGCAGCCATAAGATCGCGCGTTAACATCTGCATCGGTCGCGGTCCATTTGTGTTGCCATGCAATTGCAAGAGACCTTTATGCAGCGCGTATTGCGGGCCAGAAGGCGAGAGTGGCGTCCTTGCCCCAGTTGCCAGCGATAGGGGGTGCCACTCCGGGGACGAGGGATGATTCGCCGGTGGTGGTAATGAGGGCAACGCAGGGGAAGCGTGGCCCTCTGTCCTCCTCTCTCTTTTGTGTGTGTGTGTGTGTGTCCTTTTCGTCTCTCTCATCTTCGACACGGTCTATACGTCATTTCCGATATTCCTCCAAATGTTACGACCTTCTCCGAGCGAGGAATGTTTTGTCTCTCGCAAAAGCGGCGCGAGGTCTCCATTTGATTTATCGATTTAATCGCACAAACAAATAACCCCCCTATTATTCCTACCGTTATCTATGTAGGACCATTGCCGATGTTCTCATTACTGTATGTAAAATTTAAGTACGTTAATCGAATTGTTTGTCGAGCAAAAAATACAATTTTCATTCCATTTCGTTCTTTCCGCGGAACGGAAAAAATTTGAACAGCCGGACAATAAATAATCGGGGAAGCGTGATCCTTCTGTTCGACTTTCGTAAGAAATCTCGACGCGTTTTGCGGCTTATACGTGCCGTCTTACAAGAGCGTTGGGATTACAAAAGTTCTTTCCGCTCGCCGCGCGTCGGTGCGCTCAAATTGTTGTGCTCGGTCGGATGCATTGTTTCTTGTTGCTGTTTGGTTTCCGGGAAAATTCCGGGCGCACACGCTCTGCCAATCCCACGGTCAATAAAGATCAAGCTTTTGCATCAATCGACAGCTGTCGGAACAATGGCCTCTATACACGGCCTCAGATAGAAATCTGATAGGCCGACCGATTTCGGACGCGCGTGACGTGTCGTGCGTTTTCCGGTTCTCTGCGTGTGACAAACGCGGAGAGGTCCGTGAGAGACAGGTCCGTTTATTTTGTTATCGAATTCGTTGATCGTCGATCGCTCACGCTCGCATATCGATTGCAAAGCACAAATGAGAACTTCCTCATCGATAAATAAAGTCAGATTAGATCTTATATTTAAAATTAGAGATGACTTAATTATTTTGCGTTTAAAAACCTGACAACAGATGAAAAAAACTTGCGACTAATTTAGGACAGAAGAATTTTTATAGCGGATCAGATATATATATTTATTGAATATATATATATATATATATATATAGAAAATTCTGTGAAAATGTTTTAATTTGTCGCGACGTTTCGCAAATTAATTGAATTACATATAGTGTATATTCTATAATGAAAAAACATGCTCACCTGGTATGCAAGCGTATTTTAATAGTATTCCACCTGGGACCCAGGTGTTTGCTCTCGGATGATCGATAGTTATATCATAGCGACAGTGTTTCTGGCCGGAACACCTAAATTATAAAATTACGAGTAAATTAATGAATAACGCAATAGACAGATGAAAAAAATCAGAAAAATTCTGATAAAATTGCTTGTCATTTTTATTAAAAAAAAAAAAATTAACAGTTTCGTAAAAAATTTATTTCCGCGCGGATAAGTGAGGTTATTGCCGATTTGTACAAGGTTTCGCTTTCGGGTGTTGTATCGATTGTTCGACAGCCGCCAATTAAATAAGCGACGTCGGTCATTAGGGACTGCGAACGCATTGACAAAGAGGCAGCCGGCGGGCGTTTTAGGGGGAGGGGGGAGAGATGGAATTCAGGGGGATGAGTTGCGATTGTGTTGTCTCGATCTTTGTTGCTCGCGTTTCGAAAGCACGAGTGAATAATGAACGAGGGTGGGTTTTCACCCCTTTTAAGAGGGCCTCACCATCCCATCCCCCGCCGAGTCTCTCTCCTCTTGTCGATTTTATCGGTCTCCGAGCGGAAATAAAAGGGAAATAACATTTCACCCCCTACATGCTCTTGCAAAGAAACTCTTTGAGTCGTTTTTTGTAAAAAGCCGACAAATTCTTAAATTGAAAGTTTCGGGGTTATTCCCGAGATAGGAACGTTGTCTTTTTTATGATAACCGAAAAATTGTTCACTTCTTAGCCGACAAGGTTCAAATACTGTGTTCGGAAATTTAAACTTTCAAAAGTAGCTTCTTTAATAAAAAATTTAACAATTGTGTGATTACTTTTTACTTTTAATAATCGAAACAATATTTAATATATATTCGCAAATATAGTATAATCTTTGTTGGATTTCATATATAAGTTATTTAGTTTTATTTTATAATAAAGCCGCAAGTGACTTAATGCAATTTTGAGCAATGCAAAATGTGCATCCCTCGTATTGCCAACCCTTGTTGCAGGGAATTTTCGAAGCGTGATGCTGTGTAAAGAGCGAAGGGGAACTATTTAGTCGAGATTTCCTTCGGCGATCATCTTCCACGCACGTTTCTGCGTGGGTGGGAGGCAATTATTGCTTTGCGGAATGCTTTTACCCTCACACGCACATCAAACGTCGAGATTTTCACTCCCGACCCTCGACGGCACTCGAGCGCGCGACACAAGCAGCGGGTGAAAACCGACGAGCGTTATCTGAGACGGCCATCTGAAATGCGTTTCGCAATATAAATGTTTCAAATATCATATTTCTAAAATACGACCGCAACTGTTGCATTATTTTTCTACGTTTAATCACTTCTGGATATTATCTCACCCATTTCTTACGTTTTTCTACTTATTATATTTCTATTTATTATATTATTTGTAGTACGTAATTCTTTACGTTTAACAAACAATAATGTTTGCAAAATACAACAAATAATTGAACAGAACGCGATTTTGCTCGTATCCATCATCGTCTCGCTAGATCTTACGACGGTTATAGTTTTACTGCAACGTTTATTACAATGTTTGTAGAAAGCAATAAACGTTCGGAATAAGAGTCGTTTTCTAGAAACTGCGGTCTACCTCAGACCGACTCGCGCGCTCGTAACTGAGCACTTTATCTTGTGTCATCGAATACTCATGTCAAGAACAGAAGTTCGATATCGTCGACGAGGATCATGAAAATTCTATCCATCTGACGAATCAACTGTAGAATCAGCAATAAAATTTAACTTGTGCGTATAAATGTATCGAAGAATCTCACTAATGCAATGCATATAAAAAGTTTCAAAACTCTTGTATTTGAAATTAATTCGTAGATTTTAATTTACGATTTGTTTGTTAAATTTTTACACGCGATTGTTTCATTGAAAATCATGATTTTTTAAATTTTCAAAACGTGAAAATATCCGAGATTTTATATGTTAAATCAATTATATATAAAATTAATTAATTATTAATTTAATGTATATTTTTATTATATTCAATTGAATTACATTGGAGAAAACGAGAAAAAAATTAATTTACCTTCTGTTTAAAGATGATCTTATGTCAACCACGTCCGTATCGTCCTCGTCGAAGATGTAATTGCTTTTGAGCTCGTTCGTATCCGTCCATTGTCGCGTGCTACCGCTGTTCTTCAACATTTTGAACTTGCCTAAGTTGTGCGACTTTTTTAAACAGAGTTCCGTGCGATTCGCGTGATACTCCGCTTCCAGAATGAAGATAAACGCTTTTAATGACCTGCGAAGTCAAACGTATGCAAACGTTATTTGAAACTAAAATGAACAAAAGCTCTGTGAATGCGAATTTAAATAATCGAGTCTGGCGGATTAACAATTTTAAAACTATCGGCATGATCCGTTGCTTCATAAAACAATTATAAACTTTTGAGAGAACTTTATTAATTAATATCTTGTAGCTCCCCGAACCGTTCGTTCGAAACTTTGAAGATAATTAAATAATAATAATTATCCAGCTTCTATATTAAATCTATTATATTATTTTATACATTTAAAAAAGTTACTAATATTTGCATGTATAAATAATTGCCGATAAATGCATCATGCATTCACACACACACACACACACACGCGCGCGCGCGCGCGCGCACTTGCACGTACACATATTTATCTTTTACGATTTCACGGAAGTTAGAAATTCAAGCTTTCTTTCTCAGAAATTTCGCTGAAATGTTTTTCTCAAGTGGCGCGATAAAAAATGCTGACGAACCTGCACGTTAATCGAAAAAGACCGTGGGAGCATCTCTGCTCTTGAATCACTTCCATGTATCCTCGGTTGAGTTTCACAGCCTTCAGTACTCTGCCGAAGGGCGCTTGGGTGGTCGCGATGATCCTGATGGGCGAGAAAGGGGCTGCGATTGTCATCAGCAGCAATATCAGAAGACTCGTCAGGGTCGTCGCTGCCAGCCACGCCATGATAGCTGATCATTACAGTGGCCGGTGAGATTTCGTCTCGCGGGCTTTCTGCGCCTCTCCGTAAAGGGCATAAAATTAGTTCTTCTCAAGTGCCACCGCGATAAGCGAAATCTCGCCGAGAGAAGGTAGTCGTGTTTCTTTGAGTTCTCTCACGTTGTGCTACTTGAGTCGAGGCTCTGCCCGAAGGTCGATGATCTCTTGTCCTTCTGGCAAAGTCGGTCCGATTTTACCCTCTTGAACCAATAAAGTCTAGAAAGAAACTGAGATGTGGCACTTAAGGACTTTAAAATATGCGGCAATGAATGTCTTTCTTGTTGCGTAAAATTGTGAAATCCGAGAGTTGCGACAGGAAAAAGAGAAAAAGAAAGAAAGACATACAGTGTGTTATATATATATAATATATATATTTTTTAAATTTATAATGTATTTTATATCTAAAAACTATGAAACGCAGTGTTTTTATATTAAAATATCACATACTGTAGATTCAAAGTTTTTTTACTTGTTCAATCAACTTGTTCAATTGTTTAAATCGGTCGGGACTCTATCACCCTCGATTCTTGAGATCCTTGAGAAATCACGTCCGTCGTGCGTCTGGAGACTGTTCCGCGGATTAGACTCTTCCTCGGTTCAATAATCGCCGCTTCGATTGATCTTGGCTCTGTATTTTCAGCCGCGGCCGAAATTTCTTGACGATATAACGCGCGGATATAAGGTTTGTTGGTCGAAGCAAGTGGCCCCCGGTCGGGATCAGTCGGCCACGGTCAAGTTCCAGACGCGCGAAGAAGACGACGGCATCAAGCAAAGCGTTTTCCGCAATGCGTTCAAGGACGCAGCGATTAGAATAGTATCAATAAACGCGATCTCGCATTTAGACGCTCGCGAGTGACGAAATGTCGATGGGGATTGTTGCTTAACGTGTCGGTTGATCGGCATTAGTCAATTAATTGTTCCCGCATCGATTGTTTCTAATCGTAAAAACAATTTCGGACTCGTTCAACGTTGCAAGCTGGTAAATTAATTGGCGACTACTAATTCTGTATACCAGATATTGGCTTTGTTGGTAAATTAATTAATTAGTTATTATTAGTGTTAGTTATATTCACAGCCGGTCGATTAAGTCATAATCGATGCAGTTGTTTGAAAGATAATAATTTTATATTGTAAATATTAGAAGATTAATTTAGTAATCTCGATTGTCGTGTATTCCGGCCGTAAAAATTTGCAGTTTTGTAATTACTTCTCACTTGTGCGTGTGTTCGCCGATAGAAATCACATGTATCGTCAATTGCTTTAACTTGAGACAGATGAGACACCGCGCCAACACCTCGCTCGAGCGTAAAACACCGACTAACGCACTTGGCTTGAAGACTATAAAAATATCTTTTGCCACTGTTCGAAAGTTACATATTTGGCTTGGCAGATAAAAATATTCCAATGTTGCTCATGTATCACGAAGTATTTTGAACACTTTTTGAGGACCGGCGCACTTTGTCCGAGATAATTTTTGAATGTCAGTGTATTCGATTTTAACGATATTTGGCGTTGCTCAAAAGTTACACCGGGATCGAAACCGGGTACAATATATAATTACGGAAATATTTTTCGACACTGTGGGTAGCAGATTTCGATGCCACTCGATTCGGCGTCGTCCATCCGCGCGGCAACGCGACTGTCTACGCGAGTTCATGAATTGCCATCACCGCGCGCGACTAAAGTAACACCCGCTCGTGTCGGTGATTCGCCGTCGTGTGCCGCGAACCAAGTTCTGTTGATGTCTGCCTGCCTGCCTGCCTGCCTGCTGCTGCTCCACAGACATTGACAGTCTAAGGCAGTCTAAGCCGTGAATTCCGCGCCAGCCGGTCGAGCCAACCGAACGGCCCGGAAGCGATCGGTGGTGGTTTAATGGGGGGAAACTACCCTACTGCACGCGTGCGGGAACTTCTTTCTCTTTTTCTCTCTCTCTCTCTGTTTCGTACGGGGGGTTCTCGCGCGTACCCCTCGCGCGATAGATCCCGGTACCCCCGTGCCGGTTCTCGCGTTCTGCCCCCTCGCTTTTCGATTCATCGTCCCTTTGCAACGTGGGTTCTCACTTTCTTACTCCTCGCCGAAAACGGGCAGCTGAAACCGGCAGCTGAAGATTTTCAGTTTTTCGCGCGAGGACGATCGCGCGTAACGAAGAGTGACGCGCGGGATCAATGGAAAAATTCAAAGAAATCGGGAACTGAAGTCTAAACATTATTAGATTTTTTACGGTGTAATAATTGAATAAATTTGGATTTAACTTTCCAATGGATTAGCTTGTCTTTCCGTTTTTCGTTACTTCCGCTATCTCTCGCAAGCCAGACTCCTATTGTTCGATCCACGAGACGTCCTACCATCGGTTCGATCGGCATTGTGATCGGCACGCGCGCGATCGTATTAACGCGCATCTGCGTCTTCGCGCTGCTGGACGAAAACCGGCGTTTCGGATGTACACCGGTTGTCATCGATCCCTATTGTCAGCGAATCAAGAGATAGGCGTCTCGAGACGTTTTGAGAGATTGCTTTTCAACAAGGAGCGGAATCGAAGCTCGTATAATATGCGAGAAATTGCATCTGCCGATTATTTTACGATTTTATTTTAATTAATTGTAAAACGATGCTCTTTTAAACTTTTATATTATTTTTGCGGAAGTAAATTTTTTTTGTGAAAAATTACATCTATTATATTTTTCTATCTATTTTAATGGAAACGCAACTGAATCACAAAATAACGTGCGAATCGATCTAGAACCCCTACCTTGCTGCACGTGCGTCGAAAAGTGAGATCGACATGTGCGGCCCGGTCACGGCTCGTTTAATCCGCAAGACTCAATGAAAGCTTAAGCAAATTGCATTTCTAATTCCCCTCGTTTCGTCTTTCGCTTGCACGTTCAAGGAAACGCTGACACTTCTATCCGTTTTGGTCCCTTCCCCCTCCGGCTTCTCAAGATTTAAATTAACGTTCGCGCGATTACGTTCTCTTCCGTCTGTTTATTTATTTATTTTTTTTTTTTACGTGTATACACAATTGAGAAATTGTTTTTTTTTTCCGTGTATATTTTGGCGAAATAAATCGCGTGGCAATATGCGACCCTCGCGCGATTCTTAACAGGATTAAATTCACCGCGTGTGCATCCGTTGTGTTACGTAAGAGGGGATCGTTTTTTTTTTTTTTTCTTCTATCGATCAGTGAGAGAAGAGCATTTTACGCTTGTGTAAATCGCGACGAAACATCTCTAAGTACGTAGGCGGATTATTAATTTCGGGAGTTGTTGGCCTTCCAAAGAAAATCCGGCGTTATTTTCGGACATTAATTCTCGAGCATGCACGTCAAGAAATGCATCTTGTTCTATTATATTATCGGAGACCGTAAAAAGTAAGTAACGTAGTAAGTAGAGTGAGAAAACAATTTGTCTTCTTATTGTTAAATATTGTTTTCAACGAGTGAAGAGTGGAGGCCAAATAGGAGCGCAAAACACGGCTGGTGACGTGTTGCAACAGTTTTTTTGTTTTTTATTAATCCAAGAATAATATTAATAAACGTTTCGACCAGGAGAAATTACATTCTTTTTCAATCACAAGTTTTCTAATAAATAAAACTTGCGATCAGAGCTAACAGAGTCGCAACGTATGTAATATTAAACTTGATCCTGTAAAAATTCCGGTTTTTTGAAAACGTGTGTGTGTGTGAGAAAATCTTATTAATTATTTAGTGAAGATTTTCTAAAAACTAAAAAAACTATCAAAAGTAATGTTGTTTCCTTAATATAGAATGTTGAATAAAACCCGATGAGTTTTTACAGAGGTTTTGCAACGTTTTAACTAATAAAACAATTGTGTCAGACGTGTCAGGATTTACATGATATCTAAAAAAAAGTTTACAAAATTAGGGTTAAAAATCAAGATTCAAATTTCCGTCACTTGCAAATTAGAGTTGTGGTTAGGTCAAAGCCGTTAGCCAAGATTGTTGATGTAAATGTCAAACTGATCGTTAACACTAAAGAAAATTTTTTTTTAAAACAATGAGAAGTTTGATGTTATCCATGTGAAACTTAAGTTTTTTTTTTTTTAAAGGAAAATAAAATAAGAAGAAAATTGTTGCAACTTACACGTAACTATTTCAGATTTTTTTAAAATTTCGCGCTGCTCTACTTTGTTCTTGTGCGCTTTCCCTTTTTTATATATACATATATATAAGCTCCGAGAACAGAAGCTTTCTCGATTTATTTTGCTTCTTCAAAACACATTGCCACTTGTTGAAGAGAGATCGGCAGAAGTAATTCGGACAGAGGAGCGCAATTCTTGATACTGATTTTAGCGCGATCGATGATGCTGGTGTTTTATAGCAGGGCGTAAAATGTAACGGTGCAAGAGAGACGCATTGGGTTTCTTCTTACGTCAAACGGTTTCTATCTCCGCATCCCACGCCACATCCCGGGCGTGCCGAATGACGTAAAACGAAAACAAGCTTTTGTGGGTCCTCTCTCGTCCGCAAAGCAAACACGCGAAGCGCGTAAAGAATTTCGAAGCAAAGCAGATCTTCGCAGGGTTTTATTTGCTTTTTTTTACGAGAAAATGAGGAAGTGGGTCCGAAGATCTTGAACAGACGAAACTGTAACAGTGTAATTTGTTCGCCTCTAAAAGATTGAATAAAAAAAAAAAAAACAACCAATTAAATTTGAAGAAAATAGCTTTATTACTTGAACAAGAATCAAACTGTGTCGTCAAACTCGTCGGAAAAACTTTTTCGTACATTTGTGACATTAATTTCGTAACATTTTGAGATATTAACTTGGAAAGAGAAAGAAAAGAAAGAGAGAGAGAGAGGAATAAAAAATAAAATTCGGGAACGAAGAGTAAATCGAGTCTTGTGGTGAACATTTTATTCAATCATAGTAATAATCGCCATTCATCGTATTAATAATAATCGTATTATAATTACATTAATGATAAGAACATAATAATAATGTCGGCGCGCGGCGCCGTAGTTGCGCGCTTATGTGTGTCACAAAAATCTTGCGCAGCTCTATATATATGTATATGTATATGTATATGTGAATTAATTCGTTTTTTTTTTTTTTTAGTTTTGTAGTCAACACATTTTATTTCGAGGCTTATACGATGAAAATGAATTACTCAACAAACGCAATCCAGACCGCGCTGATTTCATGATACATGTATCTTTTGTATATGTGTGTGTGTGTGTCGTATATACGTGTGAGTTCTCTCTGTGTACAAGATGTACAAGTTCGACTACAAAAGAGATGATCTATGAAAACGCGTTTTGAATGAGCCTTTTTTTTTGCATATGTACAGTATAATAACTTACGATTACAATTACACTGATCGCGTATTGTATATGATTTTCTTTTTTTAATAACAGAGACGCGTCGTTACATCGTGTCGCGCGCGAACTCTCGTGTCATCGCATGTTATTGTGTTACAACAGCACATTGATAAAAAATGTGAGAAAAGATTAAAAAATGTTGGAAAATAGTTGTAGCATTTTCAGGTACAAAAACGGCATGTTGTTGTTTCAAGCAAACGTATATGAGCGATTTGAAGTTAAGTACAGCGAGTATATTGTTACACGTTTGAGCAAATTCCATCGCGTTTTCGTGTGTCGCAGAAGCATAATTGCGCGTCAAAATGCGATACAATTAAAAAACAGAGAGTTCGCGCAACAACGCGAAACAACAACGCGTCGCTATTTTTAGCGTGTTATTTTTTGTTTATTATCTTTCTCCTTTCTTTCTTTTTTTCTCTCTGTATTTTCAGTTATGATAATAAATAAATAGGAGTTAGTTGTATAGAAGTTACGCGAGACTTTTGCGTTGTTCTGCGGTGTTGCTTAATTAACGTCGGGTGTTTACCAGTCAACTTTGCGAACGATTTACGCCATCATGCCACGTGAGATACCTAGAATTTTTGTACAGGGAGTATTACATATTTGTTAAACTATATATATGGTATATATATATATATATCTATCCTGTCGAAAAGACTAACGTGATTACTTCGTTTAAGTTTGCGAGCTGCAAAATTACGCAATTTGTTACATCATTCAATGTTCAAATCCACATATTTTGAATTTGGATTCTCTCGTGCGATCTTTCGTGCAAAAAACACAGCACAAAACGCTTCGCGAAGAAAATTCAAGAAAAATTAGAATTCTCGTTTCGATTCTCGTCGGGGAAAAGTGACGGTCAAGGAGAACCGATTGTGTATGAGAGAGCTCGGGTCTCGATTTGCGATCACGCGCGTTTAATTAGTGCGCAAACGAAACTGCACTTTCGCGAATTTGGGAAAATTTCGTGCTCAAGCACGTGCGAAAAATAAATGACATCGGGTAATTAGAAACTGCCGCGCGGCAGTTTATTTGTTAAATAGTCGAATATTAATAGTTTGGAAAGCGTCACTCCATGTATACATGTATACTCTCGTTTATCTCAGAAGCGGGAAAAATGTACTTTGTGTGTGCGTGTGTATGTGTCAGGTGTCTCACGTTCCCGATTAAATCTATTTCTTTCCGCGTAGCGTTCTTTCTTTTCGATAGTATTCGATTTTTAAAAGCGATAAGGCATTGTCGGATATGTCAGCTGAGATCTTGGAAACGTTTCTGGGTTTGCGGTACATCGAAAGCTTTTACAAAAATATCTCATCTTATTTGTTATCTCGTCAAGTCCCATCGTAGTGCCAATCCTCTCCCCTCGTCGCTTTCCAAAATCCTCGAGCCGTCTCGTCTCTTCTCTCGTCCTTTGAATCCTCGGCGTCTCTTCGATTTTTTTTTTTTTTGAGATTTCAATTCTCGATAAAATTTGCTCGATCTGCCATAAGATAAGTATCTTCTTCTTCTCTCTTTCTCTCTTTCTCTCTTTTTTTCGTTCGAAAGAAAAGGAAAAGGGCGCGGCCTCTCTCTCCTCTTGTTTCTCATCAAATTATTTTTCTTCTCATTGCGATTTGCAAACACATGACTTGTCGCGCTCCCGTGCGTGCTACAAAAGAAAAGCGAAGAAAATATTCAAATGTGCTCCGGGAAATCTTTCTCGTCCTGTTGTCTTCGTTCGTTTTTTTTTTTTTTTTGTCTTCTTTTGACGCAAACCGAAGCCGTCATAGTCGTTGATCGGTGTGATTAAGCGCAATTCTTTTTGGCACATTTGCTGAAATCTTATTATCGTTACTAGACTATTAAATCTTCACTACACACGACGATGGTCTCATAAATATCGTGCAAATAATAGATTTATACGACGTTTTCGACTATTACATGTCTTGCAGTGAAGAATTTAATCGCCCGGTTGCTGTAAGTATTTGTTTTCTTTGCTCAATTTGGCATTCATACAATTGCACGCGTATATATTCTATACCATTTTTTTAACGTTTTTTTGTTCAGTTTTTTTAATCGGAAAAATCGCGGACGATCAAATTTCGTTATCTTTGACAGACGTGTAGTATGATCGTATTATAAAATACTCGCGATGCGCTTATTAATTACGTGTTACTTCGCTTATTCTTCTTTCTCTCTTTTTCTCTCTCTCTCTCTCTCTCTCTCTCTCTTCCTCTCTTTCTTTCTATGTCTCTTTTTCTATACGAAAGTAACTATTTTTAACATTGGTTTTTATACTCTTCAGTCCGAGCATATCGTGAAATGCATCCACTCGTCGAAATCACGCATACACACAAGGAACAATACTTTCGCTGAGGATGAGAGCTTTCGACGAGTAGATATATTTTCTCTAATTCGAGGAAAAAGGTTTCTTGCTCACAATTGACCGCGTATAATTAATAACAAAGAAAAAACCCTATTTCAAAGCCTCGGATTTTTGCTTTTTATTGCGCGGAATGTTACAAAACGTGTTTAAAAAAATTCGTAAAAAAGATTGAAAAGCATCGGATTTTGAATAACACGCAACAAGTGTTTTTTTTTGCAATTCACGCACGTAAAAAACGTATTGCGAAATTTGTTTGTTTAATTTTTCATCGACGCTGTAATAAGAGACGTGTCCTCGATCGAAAAATCCTCCGCGATTTTCCGTCGCTTGTTGTCGAACTCGAAAAAAACTTTCGATCAAGCCTTACTTGTATGTACGCACCACTAAGTTTATATAATGTTTTTTTCTTTGAAAATACCGTGCGTACACACACACATACACTTTTTGTTTGTATTATATGTTTTATTTACTCGTTTTTTTTTTAAATTGTATCTTTTTTTGCGAGACGCGTGGCGCCCGTGATAGATACGATATTTCTTTTCTACTACGGCAATCTTTTTCTCTTTTGGTTGCCATAATTCTTACACGTATATATGTATAAATATGTGTACATAGTGTGTACGCAATATACTTTTGTAAGCCTCAACAATATACGCGGTGTAACAAATCGCCTCGATCTCGGTCAAGATCGTCGTTAATTCCCGTCCCGAATGACGATCATCGACGCACTTCGGCTACATACTCGACACAGTCGAAAAAATATTATCGTTATTCAACTCTCTCTCGGGGAGGTTTGCAATATGTTTGCCGCATTTTGGACACGTAAATTTTTTTTTTTTCGATTTGATAGTTTAACAATTCCAAATCGTTTTAATTGCCATTTAATTTTAAGAACAAAAAATTTTTATAATTTTCACATTTAAATATCAAATATACTTTACGTAAGATAAAGATAACACAAAAATCAGAGAGATAAAGTCAGTAATTGCGCATCCGAGAGAGGTGAGGCATAGATAAATTGTGAAAAATCGGTATGCACATATCTCGCCAATAGATCGCCAAGCCCGCAAGAGGGGTTTTTTTTAAAACTCTCTAACACACAACTGACAACACAATTAAACGAACAACACGTGGCGTCCTAGTGACGTCCGATCAACGTCTATCTACTATGTCAACTACGTCGATTTCTATACAATAACATTTAACAGACTATTTAAGCGGTAATACATATTAGGCGCGATTTCGAGGACCAGCCGAACGGCACACCTAAATCATTCGAATTAACGAGAATCTTGATCAACGTGTGATTGTTCTCCGGAAGACGAAAGAGGCCATAGGTCCATAATCGTCTCTCATAGTTCTTTTTTTGTTTTTTTTTTTTAAAGATAAATTATCTTTTTTCGAATTTCGAATAAAAACAAAAACGAAAGATTTTACTTGAAGCCTTTTCCTAAATCTAAGTAATATTGAGATTTTCAAACTACTAAAAGTGTGTTAAATAAAAATGAAAATGGAAAGGTCGATATCGAGCAAAAGACAAGAAATTACATTATGTTTAGATAAATTACATACGCAAAAATTACGCGAAACGTGTTTTGAGATCTTTTAACTCGAGTCTTTGTCGCAAAAACTTGTATCTTCCTAAAAAATATTATACTTTATATACAAATTTTATATTTTACTTTAATTTATGTTTTTATACATCTATTGAGACATTGATTAAATTTCTATCAAACTTCCGATGAGGAACGATGAACCTACGTCCTTCCGTTTTTTCGGATACCTCTTCGATATAATTTTCTCATATATAATCAATCAACGGCGCGATTAATCCCACAGTTCGAGTCGAAGAAAAGATTCGGCTCTCACGCGAAGTATATAATATAATAATAATAATAATAATCCGTGTTTGAACATGACACACGTGTGTTTATGTGAGTGTGAGGTAATCGTTCACGCAGTCACACACTCTCGTCGTATTTTTTCTTCTTGCGCAATTCGTCGATTGCGCGCGAAAAAATGAGAGAGGATGTTCACACTTTTCTCCTCCCCTCAAATCAGTTTCTTATCACCAGCTTTTATTGATATACGTAAAATACGTATGCGCGTTAGTCGGTAATTAGTTTGGCACATTGCACGATCATCCCTTCGTAATTTTTTAATCTTCAAGGCGACCGACGTGAGACGTTAACAATGAAAAATATACAATATATGTCTCTCTCTCTCTCTTTTTCTTCTATTTTCGAGCTTCCTTCTCGTTTCGCGTCTTCTTTTGAAAGTCGATGAACCTGCATCTCTCGCTCTGTGTGTGTCCACGCGGTCACAACGACGAATTAATTATCGCGCAATTTATCGTTTATTTGTCGAACAGTTTCCGTATCGAAATCCAGGACCGGCGTTGCCTCCGCAAGCTTCGGAATTTGCTGTCCCGAATGATTCGACTAAGTACTTGCTGCTTCCTATCGAACTGTCTGTCACATGAGTTATATATATATATATATGTATATATATATACAGCAGTATGTTTATATATGTACAAGTAAAGTAACTTGTGTTTGCGGGGCAGTTTCACGTCGATTCGCACGCGACGATTTCCGAGCCAAAGCCGCGGGGAAAGGAAAGTTCAAACGCGTCGCTACGTTCAGCGCAAAAGAGTTCAGGAACTTTCCGGAAAAAAAAACCTGTGCGACGAATCTTTTATTTGTGGCGCGGTTTGTGATTTTCATCGTGAAAAGAGATCTTCTTTTGAAGATCTGTGTTTGTCGGAATCTGACAATGCCGGTCCGGACCTCAGCGTCTTCAGTTTTTCTCTCTTTTGTGTGTCTTCCGACATGATGTTGTTTCTTGTTTTCATTAACGTGAGTGAAGTGAAATTTCCCACCACCAGGGCCAGGGTAATCGAATTAGCGACTGATCGACAGCTCGGCCGTTCGAGAACTCGAAGGGATTGTTGCGAGTCGAAGTTCTCGATCGGAATAGTCTTAACGATAACGTTTGAGTTCCAAGACTGTTCCGGGCCGAGCTCCGATCAGATCGGGCTATGGTGGTTCCGGCTCGGAGGTGGGAGATTCCTGCTACGCCTCCAGGAATATGAGCGCCGTCGGCTTCGGCTCCAGATTGCTCTTCTTCGCCTCCACGACCAGAAACTCAATCTCGTTACGATCGCGGCGCGCGAACGACTCGGCAATCAGTCGCGCGACTTCCTGATGATGAAGTCCTGCAAATAACGAACAGAATCGATTAAAAAAAACTACTAGTTGATATTTGTATTTATTTTTATTTTTTATGATAGAAGTGATATTTCTATGACAATTGAATAAGCTTGTGAGATGATAAAAGCATGGCTTGGGCAGATGCGAGCCAAAACACCAAGATGTTTGTGCGAGTGATTCTTTATTTGATGCCAAAAAATTACGAATGTTTCGATCCCTTTGTTCGGGATCTTCATTGGTGTATGAGCAAAATTGTTTATAAAAGAAAGGCCACAGAGCACTCATAGTTTGACGTATTACTCCACAAACTGCTCCCCAACAAACAATCGAGGACAGCAAAACACACGAGTTTACAAATTGTACTCGAACAATTGTACAATTTAATACAATTAGTAAACTCGCGGTATGTGGTGTGTTTTGCTGTCTTCGATTGTTTGTTGGGAAGCAGTTTGTGGAGTAATACGTCACACTATGAGTGTGTGCTCTGTGGCTTTTGTTGTAGATTTTATATACAATTTTGCTCATACACCAATGAAGATCCCAAACAAAGGGATTGAAACGTTTGTAATTTTTTGGCATCAAATAATCACTCGTACAAACATCTTGTGTTTTGGCTCGCATCTGCTCAAGCATCTTGTGATATTTCTATGATGTATATATATATATATCTTATGTATAATTTTATTTATGTACTATATTTGTATTACCTTCAACTTTCTGACCGTCGACCTCGAGGATGAGCTGGCCGACTTCAAGACCGCCAGCTTCATAAGCTGCTCCGTTGTCCTGCAATGAATTATACCGCGTGCGTTAGTCATATTTATGGCACAATATTGTTTATGCCGCCGTAAATGGCGTCGACGATAAATTCGTTGCGACGGATATTAATCGCGCATTTTAGTTCACGAGCAAACTTCATTTAAGCGGGCTAATTAAGCGACTCGCTTAACGAACGCCGTGATAGCGCAACGCATACACTTTTTATCATAATATCTTTCATTAAAAAGATTATAACGAGGTATTAATTAGTATTAATGGAGAAAACGAAAAAGAGAAACACGACTCCGTCTGCATGCGATATTATTTGCACGGGATGTTTTACTTATAAAGCTGCTTAATTATTCCAAAAAAAAAAAAAAAAACAATATCTAATTCTGCATAAACTTTGCGTTAATTTGACGCATCATACACTTTGACATTGTAATTAATAATTTTGCGAGAAAAAAAACTTACGTGTATGTTGATGATTCGGGGCAGTGGGTGTTTGGTATTGGCGCCACCCTCTATCGCGATGCCGAGGGTCGACTTGGTTTTCTTGACGGTGATGCGCAGGTTGCCCTGATGATCGGGCACCACCAGGGCGCCGTCTTCCTCCCTGCGCTCCGACATCTCGCTGCGCGTCAACCGCTGCACGCTGTGATGCCGCCGCGGGGGACCTCCCGCGGTTCCACCGCCGGCGGGCCCGCCGCCGGAACCGCCTTCCTCCAGCAGCTGTGCCTCCTGCATGTCGAAGCTCCGCGATAGCTTGTGCGCGAGCTCCTGGAACGGGCATAACTTGCATTCAAACGGCGGCACTCGAGCATCAGTCCCTTCGTATACGGCTATTCTGCCGGATTCGCGCCAGCGATCAGAAATCATTTCAAAAAAGTTTTGTGTGTGCGTTTTTTTCTTTAAATAAAAACTACAATAAATACGTGATAAATTAATTATGTGAAACAATTTTTTTCTTTATTCTTCCGTTAAGAAATTAAATTTATTTCTATTTATTTATTATACAAAAAAAATTGAAAAAATAAAAATCAAAAAGTATTAACAAACTTTATAAAAAAATAATGAAGTTTGGAAATTTAATGTAGAAGAATTAATTTTCTTATCAGATAATATATTATTCAATTTTCTTTTTTCTCTCTTGTGACGCAAATCGAATGCGATCGCTGTCGCGTTTCCAGCAGAAAAATCCCAATGTGCACACCCACGCACAATGACAGCACACTAAGAAGGCTTATGCTAGGCGTAAATCGCGTGCACGCTGCAGTGGAAGAGCGACTTCTGACAGTCTTCACGTGCAGCTTTCGGTGGTATAAAAGAGAGATAATACATAAAATACATTTGTAAGATAATATCGTTGGTGAGTCTCTCGCGAGTGTTTACGGAGTGCATTTCTTTTTGTCTTTTTAAACGAAACACATCGACCTCGACGCAAAATGCGAAAGTGCTGATCGGAAGCTGATAGAGAGAGAAGTGTATCTCGAAATGGATGCGGTTTTAAGTGCATTCCGGCTAGAAAAATCCTCTCGATATATACTTTCTCATCTCGCATGCCTTATCTAGCGTGCTGGAAATTATAAATAAACGAATAAAGAAAAAACGAAAGGAAAGACAGATCTCGATTTAGCGAAAAAAAAGTAAAAGTTTATCCAACCAATATTCCCGATTCCCATTGCTGAATCAGGAAGATAATTCGACAATGCGACGTAAACCAAAGAAACAACAAAAACAAGATTATGTTAATTTTATTATCGTTTAAGTTGTGCGTTTGAAAAAAACAGTTTTTAGTGATAAAAAATGACAAAGGAACTTTCTCTTATAAGAGGAGTTTTTTTTTTATATCGTTTCGTGCAATTTTTCGTGCCTCGGTTCTTCTCGGTCTGTCTCCGTTGTGTGTTCTCACATTTCGCGCTTTTTCCCTCGCGTGCAATTGTTGCATCACCTTTGGTGCATGTAACGGCGAATCACATATGCTTCTACACGCGTGTAATGTCGCGCGTATGTGCGACATGTAACGGTTACGTTTCCAGAATATACACGTAATACATAATAAATGTACGTTGATGTAAAACTCACAAGAGAATTATATGTATATATATGTTGAAAAATATTGAGTCATGCTTGCTGATGGCAGGCTGCTAGCGGTTGGGTGTTTTTGGTAGTGCTCGGAAAGAGATAGAGTGGTGGTGGTGGTGGTGGTTGTGGTGTAATGACGATGGTGTTGTCGTTATCGCAGCTAATTTTGTCGCTAGTCGGTTACGAATCCGACTGGTTCTTATTGTGTAATCGTTTCAGTGGCGCAGCAGACATGAGCGTGATACAATCGATAGATATCGGTCGCGAGATCGCGACATCGTCGCGTTAACAACGCGATGTCAACTAATATATAAAAGTACGATTTCACTACTATGAGTAGGTACTGATTACACGACACTATTTGTGCGAAATGTTTATATGCGCCGGAAACTATCGTATCGGGAGTCTTTTCTTATCTCAACACATACGTGAAGTACGTATTTGTAACCGTATGTAATCGCATATAATGCAGGGGAATCAAGTCGTGTGTTATAAGATAAAAAAAAAAAAATAAAATAAAAACGACCTAAATTATTTACTTATCAATTTATTCTTGAATTTCTTAAAACTATCACTGTACACTCATGCAGCTGTGGAGCGATAACGCAATCGGTTTTAAGATAAACACACTATATACGTGGTGTAAATAAAATTCTTTGAAAAAAGTTTTTTTTAATTGGATGCACGAAGAAGTGTTTCTACTGGATTTATTTCTACTAGAGTAAAAACCTTGTAATCAATAATATTTCTACGAAGAAAAATAATGGATTAAAAATAATAAATTTCAATTGCAACAAAATATCAGATAATTAATTCAACACAACGCAAGGAGTGTATTGCAAACATCCTACTGAATGAAAAAAAAAGTCAAACTAACGCTATTTTAGAAACTTTATTAATTAAAAACTCTCTCTCTCTACAAGGGTAATTAATTTTTAGTGCTTATCAATTATGCAATATTCGTCGAGTTCACGGCCGAAAGATGTGAAGATCGAGTTAATTATTGGATCGACTTATTTCTTTGAGAGAAACGGTATATGTAAAGCGAGAATGGTGAAAGTGTGCGGCACGCACGCACGCACGCACGCACGCACGCACGCACATCTCGTCCCATCGGGAGCGAAAGAATCTCGTTTCTCTTCCCACGTGGATAATTCGATCAATTTTTTTCCGTCCGCCGTCTCTCTCTCTTTTTCTTTTCCGCTTTAATGACGTCTTTAACTATTTACTAGCGTTGTTCAAGTTTCTTCCGTTCGCAATTTGCTATCTCGAACGTGTCACGGGAGAGAATTTGTTTACTAATCGAGTAATATCATTAAATAATTTGTGTGTGTGTGTGTGTGTGTGTGTTTGTGCGTGCGCGCGCGCTGTAATTTCGCGAGGCTTTGAGTTTTATCGCAAAATTTCTTTTCTCTGTTTATGTCATGTGAATAAAGTGATCGTGCATGCTAAAAGACATCTATGTGAATATGTGGTTTAGCGCATGGTATACACATCCTCGTGCCCATATGTACGTACGTGTATAGAACGTCTCGCATAATCAAGTTTCAACGACGCGGTTTCGTGACGAAGTTGAAGATTCAAAATGAAATTCTTGATGACGGATTTTCTTCACAGTTTTGAGAAGTTTTTTTCATTCTCGCTCTTTAACAACGCAAAGTCTGTTTCACAAAAATGTTGTTAAAAAAAAAAGAGATAGTTAAATTTACAAAAAAAACCAAAGACCTTGCATATTCTGTTTTGTATTTTTTTTGTGTGTAAAGTGTAAAATTGCGGATATTCGTAACTTGATTTGTTTTCGAGCGGTCGCGATGATGATTTTTTATCGCGACCGGTCGCGAATCTGCGACTATATAAAAAACATTTTCGCAAACACGACAACGAAACACACCTCGCTCTTCAAAATCGTCCGGGTCTGCGATTGAAACTCGACACGACGAAAATTTGCGACGAGACGCTCTGTGCATACACACACGTGTTTATTAATTAATAAATAATGATCGTGCTTGAATGTAAAAGACAAATCGTAAAAGGTAGCATGTGCAAGACATCTAAGATAAAAAACACACGTAACACACCTAACGCTATGACGACTAATTTTTGCTAGCTCTAGGAGCACAAGGATACTTGATTTTGTGAGACAGTGTGAAAAAAGAGAAATCTAATTAAGAAGAGAATTCATGCCGAAGGGAGACGTTTTTTTTTTCGGTGGCTCGAATCGTATCAGTTTCGCGCCGTGCCGCGTTTTTTTTTACCTGTGTGTCGTTTATCGTTTTCTTCCTCTGCCGGTCGCATTTTCGCACTGACTCGCAGTCTGTGATTTACAATTGTTCGTATAAAATCTCTCTCTTTCTCTCTCGAGACTTTGTTTTTTAAACGTGAAAGAAATCAGGAAAAAAAAAAGCAAAAAACAGAATTTTCTTCAGCAATTGCATTTTTTTTCCGACAATTAAATTTTACTTTGCGCCATTTTACTTGCTTTGCAAGTAACGTCAACAGTTTCCAGTTGATTATATCTATTGCTCACCGAACTACTTTTGGCGTTTTTTTTTTTCGATAATTGTTTTACGTAAACGCGATCCGCGGATAGATTGAAATGCAACCGCGACCTCGCTGCCGGAAGTTTATGATGTCTCGTTGTTCTCTGTTATAATGCGATTTTTATTGCGAGACGCTTTATTGCCGCGCCGTGCGCAATCCTCTCTTTCCTCTCTCTCTCTCTCTCTGTGTTATTTTCTCTCTGCCAATTATATTTCACCGTAACGCTCTCACAATTCGATTGTAGCGCGGCCGTTCGTGCGGAAAGGGAACTTCGCTTCGCGTCGAGTAGTTACCAGGTAACTTTGAGAAAAATAGATTCGTGCTATCTTCAATAAATAACAATAATGACGGGTAACGGTAAAACTAAGTTACTGTGGAAATTTTATAAATTACAAAAAAGTCATCGGACAGTTAATAAGCAAAGACAGAAATAATATGTATCTAAATAAAAACAATTGAGAAGCGATAGTTGAATACAATAGATTTGTGTCAACAAATAGCACATCTCTATATATGTATTTGAAACTAATTATATCAAAAAAAGGTAAAATATCAGAAATAATTAGCTTTAGCAATTATAGTTTTTTTTTTTTTTTTTTTTTTTTTTTTTTTTTTTCATATATTATTATGTCACTGAAACTGACGTTTGGCAACTGCGATGAACTCGATTTACGATTGCGCCTGCATTGTAAATTTTTTTTGCGGAGATGTTATCGTGATTTCCGGCGCGTTCTGCAAACGCGGTTCTCTGGCGAGAAAATCATCGTCTATTACAAACGACTGCACGCCCACTCCTTTCTAATTGAAACATGATCTTGGGTTTATCGGAATCGATGTCCCTCATTTGCGTTCTCGAACACTTTCACGACAATGTGTTTCTCTCGCGAGACACGTTTCTTAAACAAATGTTTGAAAGCGCGTCGCATGTTTCTTTCTCGTACAATTTATACGGTTTTTTTCTCATCTTCTCTCGCTAACCATCTTCGTCCCGTTATCCTGCGAGTCAGTATGCGTTAGTGCCGGACAGAGGCGAAGTAAAAAAAAACAAAAGAAAAAACTTGTACAAAAAGACGAGGGGGGAGGGGGAGAGGAGGGAGAAAAAGAAGAAAAAACAGTGCGTGTTTTTGCGAGAGAGAAAAAAGAGAAAAAGAGTC